GTAAGACCACGGCATCGGAAGAGATCGCAAGCAGAGCACACACCGTCATCACCGAAAGCAGTAGGCGCACCGCGAACTTGGATGCTTCCATTGTCGTCCGACGCTCCGCCACTCGGTCCCTAAACGAGTGAATTTGAGCGGGCTCTTCGATGTCTTTTTGACCGTGTGCGTAAGCGAGCGATTTTGCGTGAGAGAAACTCAGTGACCGGGTGTCCAGAGTTGGGCAAGGCGAGCGCATCGATTCACCGACCGACACTGCGACGAACCGGCCAGACGTCGGTCGCAGGCTGTGTGTTCACGCAATCACACGCAATCGCACACGTGAGACGAGACCGAGCTGAACAGCATAACGGAACCGCGCTCCATGGTCCGCGTGCCGACCTTGATCCAGCGATGAAATCGTCCCTCCATCTATTTCCCGATATTTTCGGTTTCACTATCCATTCGCTGCTCACGCCTTCTTTTCCGGAGCCCGGAGCGAAACTCGACTATTCGGGGATGCGGGATGATTGTTTTTCACGGCATTTCACAATCGGGACTCCCGCACAGAGGGATCTCTATTTATCCTCCCGCCGTGGGTTCCTCCTCCGCTACTGGGTAATTATTCATACCGGATCATCGATCATTCGACCACTCCATCTACGTATTCTCCGATGTCTACCTGTCTTCAGGCCCTTAATCAAAAAATCCGTTTGAGGGATTCGAACTTTTTCGCATTCCCGTCTTCTGAGCGCTCATAGAGCAAGTTGGGTACGTAGAGATTCAGCAAAGCGGGACGGAGGAGACAAAGAGAATGAGACTCTCCGCAGCGACGTTCGGCTTCATTTTTATTTGGAATGAAGGACGCTCATGTGACCGCCGTCGGACACATGACGACCGAGGGCGGGTCAGAGAAGAAATGCGGGGAATATGACATCGAGATGCAGAAGAGAATCCACCCTATTCATTCAGTCTCCCTCATTTCATCTTCCCAGGAGGAGCTGCTCCGCGATTCATCAGCAGAGTTTCTCTTCTTCGTTTTCCGAATTTTCGATTCCTCGCAACTCGGTATCGAATTATTTATCGGTAACGAGCGATGCTCGTGTCTGCTTACCGTGAGCATCTAATTTTGGATCGCAGTGGCGCACCGCTGATCCCGAATTCGAGGAGTGCTCAAGTCGGCTGTCGAGGCTGAAAGCTTTGCCGGAATACTTCTACCCGTGTTTCGCGTCGTCGTCCGATTTGATCAATTTCCCCCTACCGCTCCCGTCGAGAAGGTCGAGGCAATTTTCCTTGAAGTTCCCGGGATCGATACCCTCGACAGTAATCATCTAGGGGGGAATTGTCAACCGCCGAGGAAACAGATGGTCGGGAACCATTCTTCCATTCAAGTCGGCGCAATTCGACTTTCCAAACCGACGCTCCCTTACCCGTCGCATGTTCATTGGAAGCTATCGGGCTGGAAAAATGATCTTCAGGGTCAAGAACGACATCCTCGAGGAACTGTTCCACGATATCGAGCTAGAGGAATTTGTCGAGGATGATCTTTTTCGGAAATGGCGTTCTAACTATCTCCGGAGAGAATATAGAACGTCCGCTCCGGAATACTTGGAGAGGAGCTGTGCCATGCGACCGCAAATTCGGATTCATGGGAGCTCTTCCTGGGAGTGCCGATGGCTTTTGCGCCGAAGATTTTGTTCGACGAGATCTTGAAACTCTGCCGAAATGCCGCGGTGTCAACGTACTGACCCTGAAAATGTTTGCATAAGGCCCAGCAATAAACGCCGCCGCAGAATGTTGGCAAACGTGACCGACGCATGTAGATTTGGTCATTCCGATGGGATTATTCTATCCCACTCAACAACAGTCACCAACCTAGCCAGCCAGAACGGACAAACAACTTTTCTTAGCCAAGGTGGACCGATTAAATAAGGCTGCTCTGCGTTCGGGACTCGTAACTTGCATTAAAGTCCGCAGGCGTACTGAGATGCGGACATGAGTCCCGTAGACCATAGATAATGAGCCAGAGACCGGAGAAAGGTCGTTACGCCGTTGGCCCCGGATGCACCGACTGAATTCGTGGCCATGAGACTCACCGATAATGCTCCACATGCGGGATCGCAATCAGGATCAGAGGATCAAGAACCCTCAGCAATTTTGAAGATTACATTGGAACAACGAGCAGGGACCAGGAAGAGTGGGCGTGTTCGACAAAGTAGCGTTACGAGTCAAGCAATGAACGGACATGGATTACTAGCGACGAAACCTGATGCATCCGGTCCAGATGCCATGTCTGGGGACAGAGCGAAGTCTAACTATTATATGAGCAGAAATGATCGTCGAAAATCCAGGACCGCGCCCCATAGCCGTTCGTCACAGGATAGGAACTACATAGACGGCAGGAGTGTTTTCACTGAAACGGTTAGAAAAAGCCGCTGCCTCTAGAGTTATTGTTGCTTTGGAATTACCAGACTCCGGCCGAAATCGTCTTTGTGCAACGCAGAGAGGAGTCATTCAATGGCTGGATGGCGAATATATGGAAGGGCCTCGCGGCATCGGTCATTTGAAAGCCCAGAATATACTCAGCGACATTAACTGAAGGCGATTCCGGCTTCTTGGAGAGATGCTAATGGATATCTCGCTCAGCAGTTGAGGAAACGCGTCGAGAGACTCGAGGAAGGCTCCATCCCAAACGAAGAGGAGCCGTGGATTTATGCGAGCGACATTGAAATTCACGGAAGGAGTGAGCAGTTACTATTAAACATTCAGAATGTCGACGAAATACTTCCAAAGCTCCGAGAAATAAGCGGAACAGCGAGCATAAGCGGTTTGAGCTCCATGTCCGTTGAGCTTAGTGCGGACGGTGGGTCTTTATCGGAAGGATGACGGAATCAACGAGAATCTCCGAGAATCTCCCTCTCCTAAAAATGACAGATTCGTTTCCAGAGTTGGGGGCTCCTGAGATTGGAATAGAGCTTTTTGTTCCCATTCCGGAGCAAATCGAACCTCAGATTGATTTAAAACTTCTGGAAAAGGTCTCCTGGATTCCGGGTATCGCAGCTCCTCAGGAGATCAGAAGAAGATACACTGCAACTTTCTGTTTTCACCGCTAAGCCTTCCATTTAAGACTTTCGGGATTCCGAAAAACAAATGAAGACGGAGAGCGTGGTTCGAGATCTCCCAGTTTTTCGATCCGGTCGGAACAATATCTGATCGACAAGAGTGAGGACATTTTTTCAAATGACAATGGAAAAAAGTGAAGTTGCGACCGAAAATAGCAACGTCAATATTGGGCGCAGTCGGGGGCAGCTGTGGCTGGTAAGAGATACTTCTGAAGCGGCGTCAAAGTGGTCTCACTCCTCGCAGGCGTGGAGTATGTGTCGAATTCTCTGACATATCCGACGGTTTTATTGAGATCATGTCGCGCCTCCTTTGGAATCGGAGTTCCGAAGTCGGTTCAAGGCCGCGGATGGAAAAAGATTCCGCCTTTTTCCCCAATCTGCACTTGTTGCACACTTCGAGTCCTCCTCTCCTGCCGTGTCCGCCGTGGCGTTGAATTTCTTCGTCCGCCGTTTCTGCGCTCCGACTTCGGCGAGTTTTCAAACATGTGAATTCCCACGGCAAACGAACAGTGCAACTCGAGACGGACATACCCTTTTCGTGACAGACCTTCCCGCAAGCGACACTTTTTTGAGAATCGTTAGCGAGGCGCTGGCGGGGAGACTCAATCCCGGTTTTCATCAGTCAGAGAGCTGTTGTTCGAACACCATTCAAGGGAGGAGTCATTAATGTGAGGCGTTCTAATTCAGGAGTCAGGAAGAAAGATCGCGAGACATCTGCGTGAATGTTGAAGCTTCTCTTTGGGTTCGGCTTCCCGACAGACGAGATGTGCAAGATCGATCACTCAGGGAAAACTGCGCTCATAATTTCGCGGTCGAAGTTGCGTGTTCCGAGGCTATCATACATGTCGTCCGGCTACTGAGACGAATTAGTTCTCACCCCATCAAAAGCCGACCCACTGGAGAGCCCCGGAGCAACACTCCGGGACGAACTCGTCGCGACGAAAATACAGCTCGTTTGCGAAACGGTTCCTTGCATGGCGGCGAACGGATTCATCGAGCCGATCACGCTCTTTTGTATGTGCGAGTCCTTCCTGGAACCCACGATAATATCCTTCTTGTCGTTACGCCCCGTCAAACTTCGCGCTGAGCAAGCTCGGAGGAACGCTTGTCGCCTTCGAAATATCCGTCGGATTTCTCGATCTTGGCTGGAGAATCCCCAGACTCGTGAGCTGATACCCCTCCTCTCGACGCGCATAAATGTTGCGTTTACTCGAGGCGCTCAATTTACTACCGGTTTTCGGCGCCGCCTGAGTGTTTTGGTCTTCTGGCTGTTAGCTTTACTACGCAGGAATGAGTCCTGCGCAGGGGTGTCTGCTGATCATCTAGAAACTTTGCCGGTTATATCACAGCCCAGACTGCCGAGTCCATCTGATTCATTCCCACCAATTCCTCTCCTTTATACTCAAGGAGAGCGAAGTGCACTTGAACGAAACCGAGCGTTTATAAGCTGCGTATTTTGACCGAGTCTTTCGCGGGATTCGCTCGAGATCTGCCGGGGCTCCACAGAGGAAGCTTAGGGTTGCTCCGAGGCTCGTCACCGATCTCTGATATGCACTATATCCCCGCGATACTTCTTCCATCGAATTTCAATGAGGCGAGGAGGACACCGTTCCTCCTGAGCGGAAGTCTTGCCGGAGTTTGAAGGATGCCTGATGGAGGATCAGAGAACTCCGATTGGCGACAGCACCTCCGGCGGCCATGGCTTGGCCTCGATCGACAAGGAATAGTGGACATATATAGTGGTGATGACCGAGAGATTCCTAAGACGAACGAAGAATCCGACGACAGCCGCGTTCAGGATTTCTCGCGTTATCGGTGCGCTGGGCCGCAGAATCCGCGGAACAACAACCCAGAGCGCGATCAGACGAGCTATAACGGGGGTCCTTTTCCACATTTCAGGCTATGCGGCAGCTCTTCAGCTGTGGAACCGCACTGTTGTGCTTGCTTTTCGTAGTTGTTGCTTTCGTCAGCGCAGGTCAAGCAGCCTACTCGCAACAGGGTCAGAATGCCTATCCATACCCGAAAGCCTTCATGCTTCACAGGCGGTGAGTAATTCGCGGGATATTCTGCTGCACATACTGCTGCTTTCGCGAGACCGATATCGTCTCGCCCGTTTGACCGCTTCGCTGCAGAAGCGGCATCCACGCCTCCGTAGAATACCGTATATGAGTGGTGACACTGTCGAGCTCCGCGAGCGTTAATTGCATCTGTTCTTCATTCTTCGCCGCTTTCGCTTCCTGACGCTTTCAATTTTTCTGACCTTCCCGCGTCTCTCACGGAATCAAGTCCTGAAGGAGAGTCTAGCCGGATCGCCTCTCTTTTCCAATATCTGGTCTGATTATGAAGTCGACAATTATCTGAGGAAGGTTCAGGATCTCGAATGATTCCTCCAGCTGCTGCTGCTGGAAAAGTCGGCCGATAATGGAACTGACGCTTTGAGAGGAAAGCTTCGGCTTCTGGACACCGTCACTGGCGAAGTGTAGACGCTCCTTGATTGCTAGGTTGACGCAGAAAAGCTTCTCTCCGATGGGAGAAGCAGCGGAAGTCGCCGGATATTTATCGACTGCGTCATTCTCCGCTCGCCCCCGTGTTCTTCCGAAGCGGATACAATAATTCATCGCTGAAACAGCCACGTACTCGGTAACGAGATACATGATAAACTCGTGAAAATGACGTCAAACAAAAGCCCACAATACGCCCCGCCGTTACGGCTTCCCATTCTCCGGGAGTTTTAGCTGCATTCAAGAGCCTTGGAGAGTGTTGAGGTGGTCTCTCGTTGGATAGCCAGAGGGCGCTTAACTTTCGGAAACGAGCACAGAAGGAGTCACCACTGCTTTCCACAAACGAGCGATATATGTCGGCAATGGGAATCAAGAGCCTATCACGTATATCCCTTTTCGGAAGCGAGTCCTCAAAACATTGCCAACTGGCTCTCTCCTCCGATGTCCCTTCGTTTCCTGTCTCTGTTTGAGGTCTAGAGGGTCCATCACTGACCACATGTGCTTGCCGAGTTCTCGTTAGCGAGGCTTCGCCTTCTCTTCCTCTGAAGGCTCGGCGAAGATACTTGTTTTCCGGGCAACAGAACATTTCAACAAAATCCCGGAAAACCAGAGCCTGGTCCCCACGGGTACTCTCTGAAATGGGGCAGGGCCAGAGACTATGATTGGAATAGCTTACCGTGCTAGAAAGTGTTTCCGGGTACTTGGCCGGTCTCGGATCGTTTTCGAACCCTGTCGAACGTGGCTCCTCAATCGATCCTAACAATGCGACTGCCATGAAAAGACCCCATCAATCGACCCATGAGTCGCTCGAGGAGAAAGCGCTCCGAAGAGAGAGAATATCATCATCGACCCGCTCATATCGAATACAACAGCCTCGCGATAGAGTCTTTGTGCTTCGACAAGGTGTCAGGGCACATTGTCGATGCTCAGCAACATCCGACCTTCCGAGACGTCTCTCAATAACTGTTGTCTGAAATTCACGGTTGGCATTTCGTAGTAGGCGACACACGCCTTCGTCTTGGTCCTACTCGGACACTGACAAGGATCGAAGCTTTCGACAGGGTAGGGAATAGTGGCCCTGACAAGTCGTATTCGCGGCCCGTTCGTAATCGTAGCGACATAGCCAAACAAAAAATGATCTCGTCCTTCCCCTTCCAGAGCCGGTGGTATGCCCAATTTGTCGGTCGTAGGTCCGCTAGATGTTCTCCGACGGAAAATGATGCTGGACATGATGGAACAGAGGATGAAGAGCAAGATCAACGCGAATAACGAATTTCTCTCCAGGCTCGGCAAGAGAGCGGACGCGATCCCAGCGTACACTGCGCTTCAGCAGGTCAGTATGTTTTCCTCCTGGGACTCTTCTTCTCTTCCATGATATGGCCAAAAACCTCGATTGAGGGGTCAGTGCCGGCGCGTTTAGGACCTGACGGTCTTCCGTCGAAAAAATAAAGCGGGACTTGTGGTACACCCTGCCAAATTTTTCCTCAAGTGTGTTCCCAGTCAAGTCCGAGGGGAACTGTAGCACGTGCTGCACCACTCGGAAGCCTTCAATGACGAGCGTAGATTGAGCGATGGTGGGCGGCTCCATTCACTGGAACAATGGTTTTCGCGTCTCGGCTCAGGTTCTTCGTGTTATCCGTCCGACGGACGGTGGAAAAAAAGAGAGAACTCCAACATTCGTTTCCGACACCCTAGTTGCGGGCTTGCAAGTAACGGCACGGAGCTCGCACCTACGTCTGCCCGTCGCATGAAATGCAGAATGTCCGACTCGAATTTTATCTCGTTACGTAGACAGACGCAATTCGTCAAGAGCCGTGTCCCATCGGCCGCTGACGGAAGTCCCGGGAGGGCCTTTTCAGGTTCCGTCGCTGCTTCCAGAATGACGCCCCTCGCCGCGAGCGCAGTACGCAGCGGGCAAGCAGCTCCCCTGTCTGGGGACTTCTCAATTCGATTGTCTGTCTCTGTTATCCTAATTTCCTGTTTGCTTTGTTGCTGTCGTCGCTGCGACACTAACACAAACATCGCACGCGACTTACAATCGCATGCCCCCGGAGCCCTCGACGATGAATACCGACGACGAGATAATCTGACGACACGATAACGCAACTGACGACTATGGGCAGCCGACAGTAAGACGGAAAGTCCGTCGCGCGTGTTCCCCCATTTACGTCCAGCAGCAATCCTCAGTGATCGCAGTCTCGAACACTTATGAATGGGGTACGCATAAGAGCCCGAGGGAGGATTCAGCAGAATTTTCGCGGATTCTCCGGGAGGACACGAGGGAAAAATCGTTCTGCGAGTAGCGCACTTTTCTCTAAGTCGACTTTAACAACCGAACTTTCCAAGGGTCAGATCTGTTGCTGAATAAGAGTTTCGTTGTTGCGATCATTATTTTTTCGTTGTTCATGATCGTTAGTCGGACTGTCTGACTGAGACTAAACAGCAGAACGCAAGAACAGAAGGCTCTCGCCGGAATGATTCGGCCTCATTCCGAAAACTGCGGCTCTGCACTTCTTCCCACACATGAACTTGAAGCCATCAGCGAATGGGGAGGAGCGTTACCAAAAATCAACAAGCCAAGGCGACTCGACATGTCTTGGCGCACTGCTGAGAGAGAATGAAGAAGCGAACGGTCGCAGGAGAACTTCCGAGCAACTCAATTTCGTGCTCGGAACGGTCTCCCCCTCTCGACGAGCGACAAGTGCCGGGTTTCGGCAAATTCTGTTCCCTGTCTCTCTGATTGTCGCGACACTTCGGCCGTCCTCTTTCACTTGCGGTTCCTGCGAAGCGAATGGGGGTCGTATGGGGTTCTCGAACTTACCTAACTGCTCCTCAGAATCATTCGACGAAAAGATACGAGTCAGTGCTTGGGAGGCCGACGGCTATCTCGTTGAAAATCTTCTCAACAAAGAGCTTTGACTAAACATGACGGGAAAGATCCCGGGAGAGACAATTCGGGACGGGTACTGGGGTACCCGTCCGGGGCACTGAAATCGGGGCGATTCAATCGGAACAGTCAGCAGAGTAATATATGTCGTAATCCGGAAATTCATCTTGCTTACAGGAGTGGCTCGAAAACCTGGAGTCTAACGAAGCTTGATCTTCTTTCATCGCCCGATTCGTCGTCAGCAGACATCCGCCTTAGAAGTCGCCCCCGTCAAGACTCCCGCCCCAAATCGACGGAGTTTGAAACCAACTCTGTAGCTTCCCGCATTCCGGGAGCTCGTAGAATTCTACCTATATTTTTGCGCTCCCATTCCTTCAAGAACAGTCTTCGAAGAGAATCAGAAACTCGAGGGAGATGTTCCGGGATGTAGTTCGAGGGGGAGGAGCGACCTCCAGTTTGATTCCTCGAGATATTTTCCAAAAAAATATAGTCTCACAGTTCTCAATTAAAGCAGCACCTGATGGTCTCAAGTAGACTATAAACCATCCAGATCACCAAACACTTTATTCACCTCAAGCCATGCCGCTTACGTTCGACCGCGCAGAACTCAGGCTCTGAGTCTATCCCGAGAAATACAGCGTAGAGCGGGGAACCTACATCATCTGATCAGCGATATATTCACCTAGAACGAGTCATCACATTTGAAGTTACCTAGGTTACCATAGACAAACTTTTATCATTCGAACTCAACATGGATGTACTTAAAGTCAGAGTTATACCCTCATCGCATCCCAAGCTTGGATGATGTCCTCCGATCGTCCCTCGATTCTCAATCGAATCAGCGAAAAATGCAAAGCAGAACAACGTCGATTACCTAGGTCACAAAGGAAGCAGTAGGGGAGGCCCTATTATTTTCCCCCCATGATTACCGGCTCTCGGGTCGACTCGGAAATCATGATTGACCCGCATTCCTCTCGATGCGATCGAGCGCCGAGGAGCTTCATGGTACGAAAACTCTTCGCGAGCATCGAATCCGGAGCCGTCAACATCGATTTTGGAGTTCTGTCGACTCAGTCTATCGAGGTGTGGGCGGTGTTCCTACGCGAATACCCCGGAGCTGAGTGAGAATCAAACTTTGTTAGTCTCTACACCGTGTATCGATTAGACCGCCGACCAGCAACCTGTTACCCTCTGGAAATTGGAATTTCATTGGGCTCGATTACCATGTCTAGTCCGACCAAGCCTTTCGTCGTGGAGACGATCATTTCGTGGAATCACTCCTTCGGCGGAATGCGCATCCCCCGGGGAAATCGAGATTCTCGGACGGACAACGAGAATGGTTCGTTGAGTCGTTCCAAATCCTAGGCGAATTCCGCAACTCATGATTTCACCGTCTCACAATCGTTGACCTCCAAACGATCGAGATACACCATCGCATTCGCCTGCATCAGTTGAGAGGCAGTCCCTCTTCGGGGTCGGTCAGCAGACGCAGCGGAAGCTGATTGACCGAATCGTTCTCCAGGGTCCTTCTCATCCCGGAAGCTCTGTAAATAAAGTAACATGCTAGTCCAGAGATAGGGCAGCGATCAATATCTGGCACACTCGGCTGCTCACCCGAACCGAGTGCTTCGTTCCGTTTTCTGAGGCCCCGTTAAATGAAGTATCTATTCGTTCTCGAATCTTTCTCCCAAGAGCGGCGAATGCCTCCAGAGAGAGAGGCTGACATACATACGTAGATTCTACCTACTTGACAGCGTTCAATGAGTTATGTAGGCACGCGAAACAATAACAGAAAGACTATGATTTCGACAATGACAAGAATGATGATGAATATTATAATATCGTCAATTACCAAGGGGTAAACCTATGGGAAAATATCGTTAATCGTTGCTCCAACGGATAGGAAAACAAGAGTCTCGACTACTATGCTTGTTCAACGGCGTCGAATAAAGCAGATGTGTCTCCGAACACCACGGAACGGTTTCTCTCTGCTTTTGGAGACTGCAGGAACAGATCCCGACAGGAGGAACAATTATTCTTCTACGTGGGAAGCGAGGGGAAACCCTCATCATTGGCGATTGCGATGCTACTTCTCCCAGATACGAAGGAGGAGGGGGCTTGGAGTCCCTACGGACACCCCGAATCGCATCGTAGCGCCGCGTGAATTCCTCGATCAGAGCATCCTGGAGGCGCAGCCGACCCCTCGCGGAATCCTTGAAATTTTCGAGCAGCATCGAATTCCACCGCGAGCCTCATTCTCTAATTCTTTAGTCCTGCTCCTGGCCGGTTTCGAGAATCGTCGAGCGAAAAAGTTTCTCGCTCGTTTAGACTTTATCCATTCCTTCCCTTTAGTGACGGCATAGCATTCATTGTGGCAGTCGGATAGGGAGGCATCTTTTTCGAATTCCAGGAGGTGTCCCTGAGTACGATCATTTAGAGAAAAAAATGTGGGTCTACCCGTGAAGCTTCGAGGCTACAGTATCACCTACATCCTGAGACCACCCTCCAGATTCCGTACATTCTTCTATGCATAGACCCGCCTCACAAACGGCTTATTCAGTCCCGGAACCCGCTCCTAACTGGGCCTCGGTCGTGGGCGGTCGAGGGAAGAAGAAGTGATCCTACGTAGGAATTTCGGTACCGAGACCTAGAGGCTCTTGCGTAGGTTCTCGGAAGCCCGCGGACCGACGCGACGTCATAGTCATCGATCAAATGAATCGTGATAGATGCCTGCTTGATCATAGGGTTGGCCTCTTGATGAACAAGCCCAATATATGGTACCAGTCGACATGAATCATCCTGGCTGAGACACCAGCGTGACCTGCGGTTCCCTTTACGCGGAAAATTAGAACCTCGTGCGCCACCCTGACGCAGTTCCGTCCTGCGACTCCCTCGGAGACTGTCGTGGGGACTCGCGAACGTCAATTATGTGTAATCAATGAACAAAATGAGGAATGGATAGCAGTCCATGCAAAGTTCCACGTCTTGAGCACGTGAACTGAAGTGTGAAGACTATTCACCCCTCGATATAAGTCCTTGTTGACCAGGAGAGCTCTACGTTTCGCGGGGGCGAACTTTGAGGTCAAGTTAGGCTCGACATCGAGAGTTGCTGCAGACCGTAGGAAACTGCCGAAATCTGTCAGATGTGCCGAATTCTGATGCTTGTCTCGACATTTACTCATCATTTATCATAAACGTAGATTCTCAGGCTCTTGAGCCCAAGGTGAGATCTAGTCCGATGTTTCGATGAATAATGATTCGTTCCATCTCGTTCTATTGTTTCGAGCTTCTCAATGCATTACTTGATACCGGCTCGTTTCGCGACTCTGAACATCTCATTGCCGGATCGAAACTCTCTCCGCGGGTGCTCCGCCGCGACCCGGGGGGTGAGCTCTATAATTTTTCGGTAGTGCTCCATCGAGAGCACTTGGAGAAAAAGCATTTGCTCCCGCCGCGCGAAGTGACGTCATTTGTTCTCGAGCGATGAGTCGCTCGGTCCTAGATTTTCTCGCCCCCGAGAACTCAATAGAGCAAGGCAGTAATCGAGTGATGTCGGATCTACCATTATAGGTTGAAAAATGCTTTCTCGGGCGAATACAACCTTATCCTTACTACAACGAGCTCAGAGGGTACGTGGACCGCCAAAATCAAGCAATAAAGTCCCGCTGACACGAGGTTCACTCAGAATATTCTCCGTTGCCATCGAATTCGGGGAAATCTGTGTACCCAACTATGTAGTTTCCAGCAACTAATTAGTCATCTATGATGATCAGAATGGACTGAATATTATCGAGACATTGGCTGACGTTCGAAGACCCAAAGGCTCTCAATCGGGAAGATTAGGACCGTGAATAGCTAAGCATTCATTCCCGCATGCCTCGAGTGTCCGGAAATCGAGGGGATCCCCAGATTCTTCATTGCCTATCTTCCCGAGCGGAACGACACACGTCATCTTAGTCGGGAGAAGGCCCAGCCAGAAAGGAATTCATCCACTCGGAGGTTTTTTTCAGGAGGCAAGACATTTCTCGTGCTGAAAAGAGTCGTTCCAATAGACAGCCCCCAATCGACTGCCGATAGTCCGTACTGTATCGTGATTAATACGACGAAGCGACGTCGAGAAGGATGCTTATGTCACAGCTCCACTTTCCTCCAGGAGACCTCACTCAGCTCTGTTGATCTTTGAAAAGTAGGCGTCCAGGTAATTGCCTGTATCCCGTTCTGCTCCCAGACCTCGTATGTTGTCTTAAAATTCTGTCGTCGCCGGTGTGAAGGATATTGTGTACCCATCCCCTTCCTCAGCGGACTCTTCAGCGTAAACATTCTCTCGTATACTCCTGCTGGGCTCTGCAGGAACTATTCGAGTCGGCAAGATTCCAGAAGGAATTTTTGAGCGACGGAACTCAGTATGATACCAGAACGACTCGTGAGTTCCACGTCCAAAAAGAGTTTAGGGCAGAAATCCGAAAAGCAGCTCGCCTCGCTGGTGGGGAGAAGTAGACACTCATCCTATTCCCTATCTCATCAATCCTCTTCCTATGCAAATGTAGGCGCTGGAGAGCCTAAGTGTTATTATAACATTTGGATCTCGCACAATTACGCGGACGTGGATGATGTTATTTGTGACGCTGATGGGCGTTGCTCCATGGCTATTTTCTGCAACACCGCCGAATTACAGCGAGGCATTAGCGCGAGGACGAGGCGCACGGGGAGACGGCGCGGCGGTAGCACCCGATCCGACGATCAAGAGTACAGGAGAAAAACACAGGGTCAGAGGGGATGGCTACTGATAAGTGATAACCTCCAGCGATTCTCATCTCTCGAGCACGAGATCGACATCTGAGCATCCACCTGACCTCGGGTACCCGGACAACGAAATCGGGCAGATGCTCGAGGGAGAGATACTGTGTGATAAGAGGAAACCTTGTCGGGGAGGAGAGGCATTTTGAGTCTCTACTGGCAGGAAAAGGGTACTCCTGACTCTGTATCCTATTCAAGCGGATGATAACAGCGTCTTCTCCTCTGATATTCGACTCTGTTGTCAACTGTCATCATGCGTATGCTCGTTTTTTTGCCCGAAGCATCAATCCGAGTTCCAAGAGCGATATCGCTCCGAGGTCTCATCGCTGTTTCCTTGCTCAATTCTCACATCAGATCTATAATATATCTCCCCTCATTTCTGAGAATGCAATGAAAGGGACAGGAAGGGGTTCCGCGAGTCTGCCATGAAATGCCGACCTCCATCTTGAGCTCAGACTCTCATGGAGAAGAATCATTCTGAGATGTACTCCCTCTATGGATGCCGCGGAGGATTTCCGGAAAGGAGACGTGGTGACCTAGTATTCACGACGCTCTCAGCATTCGGGTCTTTAGGGTAGCGTTGGCGGACGCTTATTGACAGAAATGTGTTCCTAATGAATGTGAAAGTCGAAACCCTCCTCGAGAAGCTAGAAGACTTCTCAATGGGCGTGCGACGGCACTGCGCTCACGGTAGGCGCTCGAAGATTAGTCGAATAGATTCCAGCTGTCGCCACCAGCCTTATATGCTTCGAACGACGAGGAGCCGATGGTCGAAGAAGATTTCTCTGGACAGAGGCTTTGCTACCAGCGAGAGCGTCAATTGGTTTCCGTGATAGGATTCACACTGATCGGTGAAAGCTGATACAGCGACTTTCAATCCGACGTCCTCAACATATCGAGTGATTCTCTCCGCACGAGGCTAGTGTGAACGACGCCTTCTCTTGATCTCTTCCCCTCCTGACGTTCACGAACGGAGAACTTTCCGGCATCAGTATCGGCGCGGTCGGCGCAATCTCCAAGTCAATCTCCATGAGGGATGGAAATAACAGCCCGCGGTCTTCGATTCTCGAGCTCCCCGTCGCGCCGCGGCCGGGGTTTCGCATCGCAAGAAGGGGAGGGAGAGAAAGTTATTCCTCAATTTTATACCTGCGCGGTGATCTCGTGTGGGGATTTTGGAATCGAGTAGTTATGCTTGAGCAGTCTCTGGCTCACATCCTAAAGCACCTAGAATCGAGTTTTGAATACGAATCTCTGAAGAATAGTTCGGGGGTTCGGCACACAACACGCATTTCGATCGGAAATTCAGAACCACTTTATTCAACAAATCTGGGTGAGTTCTGCGTGAGCCCATCAGGGTTTGAGTGAGCGGTTCGCTCAAGTGGCGCACCTATTCTGTGACGGCGCCCCACTCAGCGAACCTTGCCGACGCCCGACGCCGACGGGGGAAGAAGAGAGCAGGAACCCTCAAAACATTCAAACACTCATAGGAGTACCCGATTAGCAGGAAGTTCTTGATCGTGAAGCACCGGCCCCAATCGGAAACTGCCTCCCACCGATCAGCTGATCTTCGGTCGCAGAAATCGACAAAGATGACGGAGGTCTCTGTTCTTTATCGCGCGTTATGCATACATCTGTTTCACGAGCCCATTCCATCTGTCTTTGCCGGATCGACGGAAAGCGAATGTGGCTTTCTCGCGAGCAAAGTTTGCGTCGTTCCGTAAGAATTAATGCGTGCGGACTTCTTCGCCTGTGACAAAGAGATTTGATCTCGCATCGTCCCTCTCGCTTCTGCTATTCTTCTTGTCATTGGGGATCGAGTAAATGGAGGGAAACCGTTTCCTCCTTCCGAGCGGGCGGCGAATTTTCTCCCATATAAATATGACGCGTGGACTGCCGCAGTGTAGAATCTTCGCAGATGATGAGTCGTCTGGTTTAGCTCAGAACGTTACAGAGTCGGCCATGAGGGCAGTGACGATGATCATAATAACGTCGCTGGTGCTGTTTTTCATCGAGGATATATCGTGCGTGATTAAGGTTTCTCACAAAAAACCAATCAAGATCAAAATTCAGGCGAAGCCTTCGCTCCTCGTGAAACCGTTCCCGTTTCTCTTACTGAAAAAGTATCACAGAAAAAAGATCCGCCTCGGCTGGCCCTTGTCGGCGCTCTTCACCTTCAAGGCCGTCAAATACGCAAAGGTGAGTCGGATGGAGCTTCGTAGGTGCCGCCTGCTATTTCTTGCTGAGCCCCGCAAGTCCCCCGCAGCTCACGCAATCGGAATCGGACTCTCGCGACGATGAGCGCAGTGACGCACTGTGACGCGAGGTTGAGGCTCTGGGACAATGGGGGTTCTCTAAGATAACATTTTTTCAAAATGTCGCTTTCAGTTGGCCTTCCTATCGAGTCTCGTGAGGAAACGTCGGAGGAGATCGACGGATTCGGTGCCCATAATCTTCTCAGCACCCAACACTCGGACGTGGCTGACAAAGCAAAGAGTTCCTCCTGCTTCTCCGAAACCAATACGGACGAGTCTACAGCCATTTGTCTTGGACTTGAGACTCTTGCCCACCAACGGATCCGCGGCATCAAGCGAGAATTCTTCAGGACCCCCTTATTATATCGCCGGCAATGATCAACCAACAGCACCGAACGCCTCAATCGCGTCTTTCGAAACCGAGACTGACAGCGCGGATGAGGTTTCCGACGAATCGTCCGCGATACTAGAATCCTCAGCGATTCGGGAGTCCCTGCCTGGCGGTCAGAACTCGAACCGGAGCTCATCCAGCACAATAATATTCTTCAGCGCCAAAAAAAAGATAGAAGTTTCATAAGGAACAAGCTCTATGTCCATGAGGATGAATCGAATTCGGAGGAGGGAAGCCGCAACTTTTCGGGAAGTATGGAAGACGAATCTGAAGTTGAATCGCTCGATTCCGACACCGGCTCGACCAGATCTCCAACTCCACCATCGACCACTCAAGCGTCACCCATCGAAGTGACGGCGACGGCACTCGCGGTGCCAATAGCTGAAGCTCCGGTTTCCCTTCGAAAAACGGAGGAGGTAATTGAATTCGAAATGGATCTTGGCGATGCCCCTCTGAAACCAAATGAACCGAACTCTTATACCACAGAAATAATTGAGCCAACTGAATCAGCGACAGATTTCAGCGGGGATGCTGAGACCTCCCGAGACGTCGGAGCCAACCTGGAAAGACCTGAAAACGCGACAATACCCACCTCGCTAGAGATTCCTTCGGTCCTTCCTCCGTCAAGCATGAGGAGTTTGGGAGGGGAAACAGAGGAATCAGCGAAGAGGCTGTCGACTTCCGAAAAAGCTCGGAGCGACTCGGAATCGATTTTGCTGACGAAGGGCGTTTACGACATCGCGAGCGAAAATTCGCCTCCGGCACATAATCATCAGCATCCTCAACGTGGGAATGGCGAAAGTCCTACCGAGGCGCTACATGGGTCGCGACTGTCAGCAGAGTCGAGTCAATCCGAGTCGACTGATGATAGCATCGCGACGGTTGCGGCACCGGGCCGTCATATCGGGGAATCGAATGCAAATCAGAGCGATCCCTCGAATGATGAGTCGCCGCACGGCGGAGACAGTCACTCAGACGAGGCAACTGATGTTCCGAACGTTGATGTAAGCGAAGTTCCGGTAGTCGGAACGACGGAAAAACCGACTACAGATCGTCCTTCGACTCGAGCACCGCCAAGCACAACACTTCCGCCCCAAGATTCAACTGATATTCTAGTCTCATCTACAAGCTTGCCACCGATGAAGATACCGTTATCCCGCCCCAGACCGGTCTTTTCAGCCGCGGATTTCAGATCGGTCTTAAATGAAGTGAATCGCGGATCTAGCATTGGATCGAGGAAGAATGGCGCAACGAGAAAAGCAACGAAGTCAGGCCTGAGTCAAGAGAGCGAGGAGAGATTCGAAACCACAGATAAACCTCCAACCACGGTTCTGCCTGAGCACGAAGGATCTAGCGAAGAGAACGATGATGCGCGAGAAAGCGAATATAAGGACGAGAGAATTCATTACGATGCCCCGATGAAACTCGATCGCGGGAGAAACAATCAAGGGAGAACACCGACGAAACCACGACTGGGCAAAGCAGAACGGAAGGAACGAGGGAGAAGCAACGGAGGGAAAAAAGCGGTCAAGACGGAGAAAAGTACTCATATAGCTCCAAGCACGAGCTCAGACGACCACAAGGACGAGGAAATCGCCGAAGTTTTCAGATCTCTCCGAGCGAACGACCACAACAGCTGCATCCAGAGAGCCATTTGTGAGTACGAAGCCGTGAAGTACAAGAGGAAACTCACGCCCATGCAAGAGAGCTTTGTCGATCTTTTTGGGTGAGTATCGACAGATCCGATGCCATGTAAAATTGGTGCTGGGCTAGAATATGTGATGTATAGCGATGGGGGCAACTCTCCCGTGTTTTTTTCCGATCAGATATCAATCCTTGCTTTCTCTTCGCACAGGGAAAATGTCTCACAACCCACGGAGGCCGATGAGCTGAAGGACAGTTACCCATTCCACAGAGCTGCTTTTATCGGGAACAGCTTGCGCGACCCTTCAATATGCGCTCATACTTTCAAAACTTGCCCCAGAACGCCAGACAGTATCCTCCCCGCTTCTGAGCGGACGTCTCAGCCCGGGGATACCATTGAGGTCCCTGGACCTGTCACGAATAATGGTCCTCCACAACACCAGCTTGGCTCCCAAGCTCCTTCATATGCTCAAAATCCATTCGGACTTCCGGGAGGAGTCCCGGTTCCCGTACCTCCGAATGTCAACGTTCGACCCGGAAGTCGAGCTTCTCTATTTCCTGACGGTACCCTATTAATTTTCGAGGCGCCAGAAGATCCAGCCCCCGGCCTGCCCGTGATTCCGCATCCCACACCTCTCGACCCACCGAAAGCCAAGGGTGCGAAGCCCGTTGTGGATCTCAGTCAGTTTCTGCCAGGTAAGGCTGCGATGGCACCAGCCGTGTTCGAGACGGAGCTCACCCTCACGGCGGATGGCAAAGCATTCAATGAAGCCCTCCCGAAGATTCCGAAAATCATCGACAGCGGCATCAAACTCACCCCTCAAATGATCGAATTAGTATCCGGTCTACTGAAGAAAGACAACCATCGAGGCAAGCGGAAAGACGTTGTCCATGAACTCCTCAAGGACATCGTCATCGGACACATTCAGAAACAAATTACGACGGTTCATAACTCTCTATCTCCTTCGCCGCCTCATTCACCGACAGCACCTCCAACATATCAAACAGCTCCCGCGCCGGCCCCGGCCCCCAAACCCTCTCTGGCCTTCCCTTTTCGCAAGCCGTCTACCTTCCCAGTTGTGCCTCCGGCCATTCCAAAAACTACTTCGAAACCGGTGGATCCGCCAACTCCGCCTCCGATCCCGATTCCGCCCCCATGCCAGGACTCGTGCTGTCATAAACCGTGTTCACCTCAAGTCATCGAGCATGTCCATAATCATTTCGACAAGACCACCTCAACGACAACATCAACAACAACGACGACGACGACGACGACGACGCGGAAACCTAAGACTACAAGAAAAACAGTTGTCTCGAAGAAACATGTCCCCTTTCTCGTGATCGAGAAGGGACGCTTCCAACTCGAGATCGGCAAAAGGCGGTGACCGAGCTCGAAGCCATTGGGCAAATCGCGCTCCGCGAATCTCTCTCAACACATTGAGTGCCACTGAGGGACGCGGCGTCCCTCAGTTCTCCCGGGATACCGGGAAATTCCGCCCGGTGGCACTTATAGGAGAATCTGTTTCACTGAGCTGCATCACCCCTGAGATCGAAGCTGTCCCTCAATTTAATTTATTATTTCCTTCGGAGAAACCGTGGGATATCCGCGCTCAGGCCACTTCACGTAGTTTGAAAACAATTGAGTCCCGTTGTCGTCACCTGCCCTCGCATCGCGGCCTTCGCCGAGTCCCCGATGTGAGTCAGAGACCGGAAGCGGCGTAATGGATGGTAGTCATTCATTGATTCATTGATGTAAAATAAAATATCAGTAGTCGGAGTTGAGTAGAAATTGAGTCGTATTCGTCCCAGGCCTGGAGACCGAGCTCTCCTATATTGCCTCCGGACAATATGCTCGACTTCGCGCTACCGCAGCAGCAAGCTATCGAGAACTATGCATTCTATTGATCGAATCGCGAGATTCTTGAATTCGATCTCGAATTTCGAGGCAACGTGGGACTGGCAAAATTGTTTCTCCTATACACAGAACCCGCCGTGAGTTCGCTGTAATCACGTTCAAACTACTTCACTTGTGGGACGGTTTCTGTGAGATCGGCGCTGCTCGCAAAGGGTGGAGGTCTGAGCACTTTCGAGGATTTCAGGAGGACGAAAAAAATGTGGAGGCGGGAGCTCAGCTCTTCGCGATAAAACGCCCATGGGAATCCCTGTCCTTGGTCCGCTCCGTGATTCACGGGATTTGAACCAAACTCTGGAAAGTATCTTTCTGTAGCTCTCTTCCCAATGAGACGGTCTCTCGAATTCGGAGCACGATGTATTTCCGGTGACCTTAAGGAAATCCCTGCGTCACTGGAACTCTCGCGCTCGTATGAGATGCTGATCTCAGCAAACGTCAGGGAGCCAGTCACTCATTCCGCCGTCTAGACCGTCCGGTCAGTCCAGGCTCCGTTGTCGGATCGTCGGTCTATCTATCCGTGTCACAGCCTGCCATCCTGGCCGCTAGGTCGTCCGTCCATCAGACCCTCCGCCGGTCTACTCTCAATAGCTCTCAGTCCACTCGACGGCACGCGATCAGAGCAGTGCAACGGACTGCTGCGCACACAAAGCCGATGTAGCTGTCGCTTTCGCTGTTGTCAATTTCATAAATATCATCAGAAAATAGTACAAGCTCCGGCCAGATAATTATGCGGGACCCATGTGTGAGAGGGATGCATCTCGGGGGACAAGGTTCCCAGAGGTGATCGATCGCGCGAGCTTCCCTCTTGTTTGGAACCTAATCGCTCGGTGGTGTGAACACTAGGTCGGTCGGTAGGTCGGCCGGCCAGACGTAGTGTTTATTTCGAACGGAACGACACGTGCTCTGCAATACGGCATCCCAAAGCGCCCTCTAGATCCACAAGAGCCCATTGACAGTGGCTCCCCGACACGGGTAGTTCCGCAGACACAGGAAACGGCCGAGAGCAGCAGAGAGCCTCTCGCAGGTCCGAAGAGAGCGACCGGGTCCCGCGTTCGAGTGGGAAAACCCTGCCGGTTCGGTGGTTTTTCGTTCGATCGTCGATCGACGCGATGCCGCGAGCTTTGGTCATAGTCCCGAGTGGCTGGTGCTCTTAGTTTAGGTGCGCGAGTCCTCGGCCAGCTGTCCGCCTCTCGGGCTGAGAACAGGCTGCAAGTTGCAAACAGTTACATGCGGAGTTTGCTATGCAGTGAATCCGGCGCTTTGCGCAGCATCTCCACCAAAAGCCTTGGACCAAGGGTTGAAAGAGCAACAGTTATCTTCACCCTTCGGATATTAAGAAACTGCGGAAGCGGCGGGCAGACTTGGGCTTGCGTTACGGAAAAAGGCGGTCGGTCCACTCGTCGAGGATCTTCAGCGTTCTCCTGAAGAACTTCCTGTTCTATGACGCTGGACGGAGTGTTTTCGAGCTGCTTTTAGAGAGGTGGTGGTGTCGGTGGTGCTGGTTACAGCGACAGAGATGGATAAGCTCATCATAATTTGACTTTCGTGATTCGGTGTGAGTGAACGCGTCCGTCGTGCGTGACTGCGCGCACGTCCTGAGTGTATGTGTTTCTGTGTGTGAACGCACGCTTGTTTGTCTTCGAAAGCTACAACGACAGCAACAAACTCGGAAAGAAACAAGAACATCGCCGACGACCTTTGGCGACACGTGTTTCGAGTGGACAGACAACAACAACTTTCCGCGCGGCTGCAGCTGCAGCAGCAATAGCGGCGGCAGCATTATCGATCACAACAATGTCGCGAGCTTTACGAAAAATGCTAACGATTCGACAACTAGTGAGATCGGCGACCTCGCTTCCGTCTAGAGCCATGGGCCCTAAGATTCGAGTGGAGTATATCGACAGACCCGACCCGAACGCCCGGTGGGATCGAAAGCAAGTCTGGGCGCCGGTGGCTTTCACCGTAGGCTGCATTAGCGCTGGATACGTGATTACGAAGTTCCTCGTCAAAGAAGTCAAGGAAGTCCAATCAGAATTCGTGAGTAGCATCTCAGATGACGGCATAGACACAGGGAATATATCAAAGGACCGAGATCATCCGGACTGAGGCGGTCCGTATCATAAAGACCACGACGCAACATGGGGAAAGAGCTCACCATGAGCGAAGTAGACACGTGATGCCTCGAGAGACGGGATCGATTCGAGGAGAGTTCTTCTGGTGCTCTAGCCGAACGAGAGAGCGCAGAAGCCAATCTCAACACTCGATCCTGTCTCCCGCGGAATTTCTCGCATGTTCCGATCAGAAGGAATCTCTGACTGTCTCTCTCGCGTGGACCTTACTCGTCTATCAATCTTGCACGATACCGCATCGTAGAACCTCCGATGAATGGGATGGAATCCGAAAACTAAAGATTCCCGATTGTGGCCAGCATGCGGGATTCAAGAGAAGGATATCCAGGAAATCGATGATGAGGAACAAGAGCACGACATAAATCGGGATAATCCGCGCAGGGACGGCACGCGGCGCCGGCGTACGCAGGGCGGCTCCTTTCCTCCGAATGGTCATGTAGACCTAGTCTCGAAGGATCTCCACCACATACATGTCTAAATCGATAGGGCCAAGAGATTTCGATAGATCAAGAATTCCCATTCCTGGGGATGTTCTCCATACGGAATACTTGCTGTCGGCCGAGTCGAGCGGTCGGAAGCTGAACGGTAAACGCGTCTAGATGCCATTACGAGAATCATTGATAGCGCACTTCTATCAGGGTCTCCGTATCAATGTTGTCTTAATGGAGTAACACTGTTCCTGCGACTGAGAGTTGCTCCGAGCTCATTTGCGGAGATGATATAAAGGTTGAGGCCTAATTCACGTGTTGGTGATCTTGACGCTGTTCTGCTGACACTGACAGACGGAATCCTCACTTCCTCGGTCGGTATTTCCGCTGCGGTGTGGATACACGTATGAGAATAGTCTAGACCAGACAACTGGCTGCATAGGAGCAGTCACTGCGGGAACATCCCGGAGCACTCATCCAAATTGGAAGCTATGTTAGGGAAATCTCAGGATGATTCGATTGAGAATCCGATGGGAATCTCGTGTGTACCATCCAATGATGAATGAAGGATAACCTCCCGCGTAAGGAACTCTCTCTCCATGTCACGAACTGTCTATACGCAGAGTATTTCGCAGGAAAATAAACTCGCGCCTAGAAAAAAACGCTCTCGTGAAACGGACTGCCCTCTCGTGGAACTTCCGGTTCGCGAGACCATCCCGCGTTAGACAAGCCGCGTCGCCGGGATTCGCCATTTAGAATTCCCGATTCCCGGAAAGTTGTAGAGGCTGGATGCACGAAGTTCTCCGCGTGAAAGGGTCCTGCCGCGCGGTTTCTGCTAGAAATTCGCTTTACGGGAGCTCCGTATATGCCTATTCGTAGCGATTTTCTGTCCTCCGACCCGGAGCATGGCTCTCCGGGAGAGGAGGCCGGAGTCTTTCGATGAAGTCTCCCAAGGCTGATCTCACGGAGTGCTGTGGATGGATTTAGTGCAGGGTCGGATAAAGAATCATCGAGCCCGAGGCAAGTAGATCATTCGACTAAAAGCTTCCGCTCCTAGTTCTAGTTGACCAGCATCGCGCGTGAGGTGTTCTCTGTCAAGGCCGATTGGCTTGAGGTAAGCTCACGGCCGCTATTGAACGAGCTGCCGACGTCCGGTACTTCACAGTTCGTGGCCGTATGAGCCGGGTCCTCTCCTCATCGAAAACTCAGCCCGGAACACTCGCACAGCCCCGAGACTGCGGTCTTGTGTCTCCGACATAGATTCCGAGCCTTTGGAGCGGTCTCCGCCCCTCTGCACGTCGCCTGGAGTCCAGGGCCGGGTTCGCCCAGGTCACCGAACCGTGAGATCCTGTCAGAATTCCAGCCGAGCCGATTCCGGCCCCAGTCGGGCCTCAGTCGCCTCAGTCAGGCCTTAGTCGCCTCATGCCCCGCGCGGCAGGCTTCATCATGTGAAACGGCAAACACAGCAAATGCTCGTTCTGTAGCGTGCGACTCCACCCGAATTACAATCACATTGCAGCTGACACGATAAGCGCGATAAGGAGTCCGAGCTCGCACGCGCCGGAACACCAACAATTCATTGTTGTATTACGTCGAGTTGAGCAGCATACTCCCCCGGTAGACTGACTTGTTGAGAAACGGAGACTTCGCGTCGCGTTCGCTCGCGGTTTTCTTCTAATCCCGCGGAGTTTCGGGTCCGCATGGGAGTCTCCGCTCCAAGGACCGTCAAGTTTGCCAGTTACCCCCTTTCTATCATTGCGGAACCACGCCTACCATCGATCCCTGCGGTTTTTTTTCGGTCGCTTTGGAGCGAACGAGCCGTGAAATGGTCCTGCGCTTCAGGTGGCCTACGGCCGGTGATGACAAGCGCGGATTGAGCCATCCTGATCGAGTGGAGCATTCACGCTTCCGCTAAGGAGATGGATAACCGAGAAAGCGGTGATCGAACCAAGTCGACGACCTCCTCAGATTAGGCCCACCGATTCGAGACCGGTTGGGCGACGGCGACAGAATCTCTGACTGGAAGGCTACCAGTAGGAGATTACCATCCTCGAATCATTGAGCGAACGGCGAGCGGGCGTGTGGGCGGGCGGACAGATGGGTTCGTCACACGGCTCTCTGTCCAGGCAGCCAGCCTCGGGCGTGCCGAAGCGATTCGGATCGCGTCATCTCGAACGGTTACCAGATACGAACTGGCGCGTACAGAACTTGCAATGTCAAGGCGCTTCCGTCGGCAAGGTCAAACATGAGCAGGGGAGGGAAACATTACACCTCCATTTGGACGGAAGAGAAAAATAGAAAACCTCCGCGATCGTATCGCCTGTCCTCCAGACTCCAGACAGTCACTCCTTTCAACGGGAATCGGGGGGAGAGGAGAGTGTTTGTCTGGGCCCTACCGTGTCATTTCCGGAACAGCCCTCGGTTGTCTTGCGTGGACGAAAACGCCAGCGGTGGCCTTCCAGTGGGATGCGGAGATAGATATTCGGTGGCTGCACACAGATGCTGTCGCCACCTCCAACATTGCGGTTCGTACCTACGTACTCGCCTTCCAAGCTCAGCAGGGCGGACAGGTCGCCTTGTTGTCGCTTGTTGTTCCCGTGGCGCAAGAAAGAATAACGTAGAAGTCATTGTCGAGTAATGATCTTCGCTGCCGTGGCCCCGAGTGCAATGCGCCATCATCGCGGAGGCGCAATCACGTCGCTTTGTTTATGACCGACCAGGAGTCGCTTTTCCCGGGCAAAAGTGCAGGCCATAACGATGCATTCGAGCTGCCAGATCTGCACTGATTCCGCGGAAGATCTCGCCGTGAGAAGGCGCAGCTCACCCGCTCGGTCGTGCTTGCGAGCGTTCATCCACCTCCCGGAGTTCCTTGTCAGCCGCTCGCTTCCGCAATCGGATGAAGCGTCTTTTTCGATATTGTAACGGAAGGAGAAGCGAACGCACGCTCGGGAGCTACGACGGCCGCTGCTAGCTGCAGTTTGACACTCCATCGAGCCGCCGGCCGGACGGTCACTGTCGACCGCTGTCTCTGACGCGATCCGTGCTTTCTGCCTCGGGGGGACGGAGCGTACGACGTTCCGTTCGCATGTCCGTTTATCCCCTTTTCCCTACAGGCTGTCCCATCGGCACTCTTTCTCCTCTCCTCCCCCAATTCAGAACGCTATCGAACCACACCCGTCTGTGGCCTTAGTGCGTCGTCTAACGCCCCCTCTCCGAGCGCGTGTCCGAGTGTGTCCGCTATGTGGCGAAGGGACACTCACAGAGCGGAAAGATGAGGTCACGCAAATGATTGTGCCCTGCGGAGGATTCCGTTCCGTCCATGCGTGTTGTCACGATCGCGAACGTAATCCTATCAGCAGGCATTTTTCATCGCAACGTCAAGAATCCTTTTTCCAGCTCTGTCCCGAACGATCCCTAAATACGATTCTCTCCGAACGCTTGACCGATATCGACCCATCGTTATTTCGGTATCGCCCGTGATCTGCAACCAGACCGGACAGCCCTCCCTCCCCCGATAGAGTCGAGAGGAAATTCGCGGAGGGTCGCAGCTCAATCGGGAAGGAGTCTTCGAAAACCGAGATGCTGTTTTCCACCCCTCGTGACAAGAGGATGTCGCTGGCGACTCTACAGCGAAGGTTCCAGAGCACATCAGTTGTCTCTCGAGGCTCAGTTCGAACTCCGGCAAGCCCATGTCGACCGAGACGTGCCTCTGCCGCGCGCAGACTGTCAGGCATTGTGAGACCAATCTCCAGGAAGAATATTGCGTCAGATTGAAGGAAATTGAGATCATGGTGGAGTGTTCAGGAGGCAAGCCGTCGCGTCGGAACGACGATCCTCTCGGAGCCCGGAGACTTCGTCCGAGACACGGGACAGGAGCCATACGGGAACAAATAGCGAGTCTTTGAGTACTGCGTTTTTGAGAGCGGATCGAGAGAACGTGATCTGTTTCCGAGTCTCGTACGCGAGAAGATGAGCAGGAACAAGAACGCGCAAAAAGCCGGGCAAAGAGCAACGTGGAATCCATGAATAATTCAGAGCGATTCAACCAATCTCGAGTGGAACGAATCGTCAGAGAGCGACATTTCACTCCAAAATCGCCGAAATCTCTAAGCCATACCAATGATCAGCTCGGCGAAATGCAGAATTTGATGACGCACTCAGTCGACTCTTTCGAATTTAATTTAATTTTGAAGGGTATTGGTCATTGACGATGGCAATCTCTCCGTTCTCGAGAAACTTCCTGTCGACACTTGCCTGGGAATGTCTCCGGCTTCCCTTTTTTTCATTCTGAGAATTCAGATTGAGTTGAGAGATATCGTGGAGCGCCGGAATCCCTTCAGGCTGAGCAAGAGATTCCAGCTAGCTTATCGGGCACAATATATGGAATGCTGGGAGTCTCTGAGAATTCGCCGCTTGACTCAAACGAGTTATTTGTGTTTTGGAAGTTTCCCACGTTCCTCACAAAACTCCGCACCCTGGA